CGGATTGGTACTCTTATTTCTTTATGGCTCATTATTACAATCCAAGATGTGCAGAATGCTATGAAAAACTAATTACCGGTATCCCATATTGAAATTGGAATATATCAATAATAATATTTCATGAATTAACGAACAAATAATCAATCCATCAATCAGTTCATCTTCGAGTTTAACTTTTTCTATATGTTTCTTGGTAGACCTAGCCTTTTCGAGACCAAGGAAATATTCATTATTTTTTCCTCCTTTTCAAACCAATCAGTCCTAGATCTTATTTGGGCACCTCTTACTTCATTTTGATAAATGTTTTCAAGGGCTTTTTGTTTATTTTCTAAGTGCATGACATCATTTTCATTGTTAAAGTTACTTTTTAAAAGGCAGGCTATTTCTTTTTCTAATATTTTTTTTCCCTTATTACACTCCTTTTTTTTCTTTTTTTTCCAAATTTTATTGAATATTCTTTTATTTCTACTTTGTACAAATCCCACGTTATTCGCCAGGATTTTAGGTTTTTATACTTTTTCTTATTAGTGTTAATTATTTTAATTATATCTTGGATGTATAAGTCATCATTTAAATAACTGCAGTTAAATTTCCATGTACCAGGGCCTCTGGGGAGGGAATCTATCTCTAATTTAATAAATGTAGCTAGGTGGTCTGTTAGGATGGCAGGCCTTATATCTGCTTTTTTTTTTATTTGATTATGTTTGATTAGCGTGCTACTTATTAACCACATAATATGTGGTTAATAAGTAGCACGCTAATCAAACATAATCAAATGAAGAAAACATAATCAAATGAAGAAAAAATGAAATATACCGTCGTCTAGATATTATCTAGACGACGATATATTTCATTTTTTCTTCTCCATGTAAATTGCAATTTGTCTGCATTCTTTGCACGCCAGACATCTTCTAAACATGATTGTTTATTAAGTAATTTTAAAACGTTAACAGACTTTTCTTGTAGGGTGCTTATTGAGCTTCCTTTTTGATCAATTGCATTGCTCAATACACAGTTAAAATCTCCACCTATCATAATTGATTCATGGTTTAATGCGGATTCAGAGATCCATTGTTTAGTCAAATTAAAGAAAGTTGATCCTAGATTACTATCGTTCGGCGCATAAAATTGATAATGGAAAACAAAAAATCATTTATCTTGATATTAATCAGGATTTTTCTACCTGTTTCATCTTTGCATGTATCTATTAATTCATATGAGAAATTTTTTTGTATCAGTATAGACACTCCTTTGCTATATGAGTTACCAAATGCATGGTATGAGTCGCCTTCCCAAAGCCAATCATTTTTTGAAATTATTTCTGTAGTTAAATGAGTTTCTTGAAGCAGGATGATATCCGCTTTCTGATTCTCTAACCATTTAAATATATTTAGTTGTTTATTCTTATTTCTTAAACCTCTTACGTTAAGTGAAATAATATCGAAGATGAAGTAGAAGAAAAGTTAAAGTTAATAAAGAACAAAAAGAGAAATAAAAGGGGAAAAAAGAAAAAAAAAATTCTCTGTGTACCGCTACATACATAAGCCTATTTACTGTAATAAAAATGAAAAAAAAAAATTACCTGACCATTTAAAAGGGGGAAACTTGAATTTTGATTAAAAGACTAAAAAAAAAACAAACTCATTTCTCGCCATCTAAGATCCAAAATTTCCCCGGGGAGGACCGGGGCAATTCGATTTTTTTAAATGTACGTATACACACATAAATAGGCCTATTTACTGTAATAAGAATGAGAAAGTAGTACCTGACCGTTTTCAAGAGGGGAAAAACCTTGAATTTTGAAGAACTTAAAAGTCATTAAAAGAGACACCTCTGAAGTCTGGAAAGCTCATTTCCCGCCATCTAAGAATCAAAATTTCCCCCCCTTTTTTTGGCGTTTTTATAAAATAAAGTATGATTCCCCCCACCCCTTCCAAATGTGAACCTAAATCCGCCCCTGCAGGATAGATCATTTTTTTTGTGGATTTGGTGTGGATTTTAATAAGGAAATAGACCAAAGAAAAAATACTGGGCCTATTCATCTATATAGCCTTTAGTTTACATAACAATGTAAACAGTAAGCTATTAAAACTAGGTTCGAAACTAAATCTAAATGTTTTCAAAAATCAAGCTTCCGTTTTGAAAATAAACAGGATATGTATTATAATAGGATTAATGATAATACCGCAGTCTCCTATAATAATATATTTAAAAAACCCGGATTCAACTGTTGTGTTACCGTTGTTGTCGTATCCATTTTTCGTATGCATGCTTCAGAACTTGATTGAATCAATTGCGCAATCATAATATTCCCTTTTTTTCTGTCCGAAAATCATAAACTTCATGACATTACTAGCTGGCCTGTTCTTCTAAAACTTCTCTGTGGATCTGTGAAAAAAAGGAGGAAGAGTAGAGAAAAAAAAGAAAATGTCATTGAAAATGCTAAATGATACCTCTATTATAAAAGTTCTTTTGTAGGCATGCTACTGATTTGATGTGACTTGCGACCATAATCAGGGGCGGATTTAGGGGCGGGGGGCGCCTTAGGCCTATATCACCAAAAAAAAAAAAAAAAAAAATTTTTTTTAGATAATTGAATGGATACACAATTCCATAGAAAGGTTGATTCTATATCACATAGCGCAATGCATAGCTACAAAGACAGTTTAAGTGCAGATGCACCAGCATGGAAACCTTTGTGCAATCAATCACTCTCTATCGAGGTCAGCAGGTATGTGCTGTCAGACAACCCCATGCACAGTGACCAAAGTACACTGATATGTGTGCACATCTCCATTGACGACACCCCTTCAGTAGACTTACACTTTTAATAAAGTACAGTTTTTGTGTAGACAACATTTGACACTTTTAAAGTGCAAGTTTTGCTTCCTTCGAATGCCGAACGAGCTCGGCCGGTAGGTGGGGGGGGGATTGACTTGTCCGATGGGGGACCAAGCCTTGCACCAAAAGGCTTATCTGTCCGCAATCGATTAACCGAGGCCAGTCCGACCCTGCCCATCTTATCGTGAATGGGTTCGACCAATCAAAGTGTCCTATGAACTCTATCAGCCAATTGGCCAATCAGAGTTACTCGCGTACAGTACATCATTGCTTAAATTAGATTCATAATCATAACATTCATACCTATTTTTAATAACGCAATAGTAGGGGCCAGTTTCAAGCTGTTTGACAATACCACCCATTTTGAGAACGATCAAGGAATATATTACTGTGAGCGTAGTTTATTTGACTGATTATATCAGCATAGACGGTAAGATAAGCGAATTATTTTAACTTCTGTACCAGACCTAAACATGGCATGTGTTGTTGTATAGTAGGGGGCAGACGAGGCTAGGCATTACACACGACCTGGCCATCAGAGTTGTTTTAAAGACTGATGCAGCTGGCCTACCACACAGTTCAGGCCTAGGCTAGGCTACTAGGCACATGATTATGGTTAGGCTTAGCTAGGATCAAGGAGGTATTCAACCGCGCACTGAAAGTCAGGCTCTGGAGGAAAACAATTTTTTTTCAGTTTTTCGTCAAACAACTTTTTTTCTGTCTTAGAAAAATCAGTTACAACATATCAAAATTTTTTTTCCTCTGGAGCCTGACTGGCCTAGCCTAGGCCTAGACTAGGTATAGGCTGTATGTAGGAAACTTAGCAAAAGCGTCGATCCGTGGTGGTATTGTAGTATTAGGTGGGAGAAAAATAAGGAAATTTTGGGTTGTAGTGTAACCTTTCAACTATTCAACATACATATTATGGGATGGTCCCACGAAATAGTCTTGTGGGCCACCCGATAGGATAGGTAGGAGGAGACCAGGCCCAGCGAGAAAGACGAGTCTCGGAGGACCGGTGTAAGCAAGCTGCGTCTTGTGGTCACGCATTTGGCAAATAAAACCCTTTTATGATCAGCTTTACATGGTGTCTGCATTGTATTTCACGAATATATGGTCACTCACAGTAGGCCGCCTTGGCTGGGATGGGGGTGGGGTAGGTAGAAGCCACACCCAGAAGCTTAGGCTTTCTAGCCTTTTATGAATCGATTTTAGGGAAAAATTAACGTTTATTTCCTCGCATTTTCAAATACAAATTGTGGTATCATTGGCTGTATAATTATTGTTTAATAATGGCTATAATTTAATTGACTATCTAGAATTTTTGAAATTAGGAAAAACAGAAATCTATGTATGCAGATAATATTAAACACTATATGGGTATTATACATAAAAATTTGTTTATTAGAAATCGTGCACTTTTGATAGGTTTATTACACCCCCGTTCTGCAACCTTTTTAGCCCACAACCCAAATTATATGTCAAGCACTCAGGCGCGACCCATCAACCGGAAGCAAAATTTCTCATCTGAATTTCATGGGGGAATGATTGAATACTGTATTATTATTTTTTTAGTTTGAGTGAATTAAGTCAATAAATCACGATTGTTGTTTTATACGCTCGAGGGGTATCAGAAGAACTCACTTGATTGTTTTAGCAATCGAATAAAAGATAAGTGTGTTCTTGGGCTCGGAGCCAGTTTGGTGTGCTGTCTTTGGTTAAATCACATAAACGCGAACAAGGCAACAATACCACCATCAGTTAAACAATCTCAACTTTTATTCTGCTGCAACTGTGTCTGTTTGACTACCTTATAATCATTCGATTTGATAGTTTGGTGACCAAAATAATAAAAAATACAAATATGATATAAACCACAATTCTCACGCATTCTTGCAACGGAGTCAATATGAATTTTCCAGTTAATATGTTCATTTAAAATTATACCCAAGAATTGAACTTCTTTCTGTTGAGCTAATGCTTTACCATTGATTTTAAGAGGATTGTCAATTTCAGGGCATTTCTTCTGAGTTGGACAGAAAATTATATAGTTAGTTTTGGCAATTATTTAACAATAGTTTGTTAATGCTGAGCCAATCAGATACCTTTACTAGTTCATAGTTTATATTTGTTAACAACTTATCAAGATTGTCTCTCATGATAGGAAAACTGTCGTATCATCAGCGAAAGACACTGTTTTAAGTACATAACTAACCAAATGAATGTTGTTAATATAAATTAGAAACAGCAAAGGGCCTAATAATAACCCTTGTGGTACGCCACATGTCATGCCTGAAAGATTTGATTCATTTGAGTTAAAGATGACGTATTGTTTCCTACAACTTAAGTAACTAGTGAACCTAGTGAACTAGTAAAGCAATACCTCTGCTTCCATAGTAATGTAGCTTTTTAAGAAAAATATCATGATCAATAACATCAAAGGCCGTAAAAAGGTCCATAAACACGTAAAGATAAAATGAATATTATCCCGCCGTAAAGATAAAATGAAAATTATCACTATTCATAATTTACCAATGAATAGTGATAATTATGAAATAGAGTGTAAATTGACCAAGAATTATTATAAACATTGAACGAATGCTTACATGAATATGACCTTCTTTGCATCAATACATCGATTCAGGAACTACTGTATAATTAATGTAAAGATAAGTGGTTATAATTCTACTTCAATAGAACATATTCAAACTAATCCAGTGCATCGGTAATGCTCTGTAATATAGGAAGCATTTCTTCCAATATATAAAAATTTCAGAGCGAGGCTGAGATATCAATGCTTTAACATACCCAAATGTGATAGGCAGCACTGTAAAACTGCTCAAGAATATCTATAAGTTAAATGGTCACCAAGTGTGACTCATGTTCACGACTCATGCATAGCGGGAGTCTGAAGAACTCAAATTCAATCGTGAATTTCTAGGCCTAAATTACACAATAATATTTATGAATTACACAATCTGTAAATAATTCTTAATAATAATATTAATAGTGTAGTTTTATATAGCGCACATATCCATCTAATGTAGGATGCTCAGGGCGCTTGATATGTGGACTAGGAACTCGATCAATGACTTTCGCACCTAAGGGTCCCTTCGTGTCTGTGCTACCCAGTAACCCGGTACCAGCAACTCTCGTCCTCCTCCATTGGGGCTGTCTGTTCCAGTACACCGGGGTAATCCCCTACACGTCTCGAAAGATGTACTGGGTTCTTTATAGTGCACACGAGCCATTGTATACACTGGACCTACGGTTATAGTCCTTATCCGAGAAGACTTGTTCTACTACCAGAACCGTTCGAACTAGCGCCGATATTATGGCTATAGCTTGCGGCGTCCTTGCTAACTGCTCAACCATTACATTGTAACAAAGTACATACAGTATAAGATGTCTGTTTTACATCAAAACTTATCCTCACAACCATAAATCAGACCTAGGTTTAATTACTGCCATATTTCCTTGAAACCACAGATTTCGGCATCACCTTTCTAAGCCATTTTAATCAAAATCTTCAAATGTCATAAAATCTTAATTTCTTGTAAAACTTATCTATGTCAATTACGATCACAAAATCACCAGTAAACTACTGCGACTGAAAACAATGTATGATTTCACGCATTTACGCAAAAATAAACAAGGTTTCTTAACCTCAAAAATACAAGCTGGCTTCATTCAAGATGCTGTGTGCTCAAACTGATGTGATGCACTCAAAATGATGCAATGCGCTCAAACTGACGTGATGTTTGAAGTTCATTCAACCTCAGAGGTAAAAATGCAAACTAAGGGCGCTAGCGCATTAAAGATCTAACAATAATACCCGATTCACACGTAGAATGAAATGTAACAAAATGTACCAAATTGTTACCGGGATATCTCTCGAGATATTCCTACTGAGATTAGTGGTATTCACACGTACAATTTCCATCCATGTAAAATCCTTGTAAAGAAGTCATTAGAAATGCTTGGTTGATACCTCTTGTGAGCAACGAGTCCGTGAGCAACACACACGCAGTCTAGCCTAGCCTAGGTCAGGAGAGACACATTCCAATAGGCGTTTTATATATATCCTAACTTTACGGGAGTCTAAAAAAGGAGGGTTTTATGTAGTACTGTAGTATGTATTTATTATATTAAGATCGGCCAAGAACCGAACAAGCTAGGCCTAGGCTAGGCTACTTGCCGTTGCAGCAATCGTTCAAAGATATCAAATTCAGCAGCATAGTAAAAAGTATCGGCGAAATTTCTAACGTTGTTTAATTATCCTAACAGTAACGACACTAGAATCACAATGTTTGTTGTTTGATTTTCTTCTCTTCTTTTCATCAATAACCACGGATAATAAGAATTCCTTCATTCTGTTGCAGTACATAAATAAGCAATTATCTTAGGCCGGCTAGAAATTAGGCTTGGTTTGTTTTGAAATAATTCGCGCCACACAGCTGGCTAGGCCATGTCGATTCGATTAAAATTCCTGGGCATGCGCAGTCATCGTCATGTAAACATCTCGGTAATCTTTACAGACCTCGTTGATGTTGGTAAAGATTACCGAGCTATTACACGGATGTTACATTTGTTTTACAAGGATGCATTCACATGCTTGGGCAAATGTAAGAATTTGTTACATTTTGGTAGATTTTTGTACGTGTGAATCGGGTATTAGCCTACTCCAAAGATCACTCACACAATCAATTTGAAACCCATAAAAATGAAATTATAACTTTGAATTACTCATTTAACAAAGCACGTAAGTTATCAAATGTTCTAATATTATTAAAATGAATTATTTACAGACATCTTACTATAGGCCTACACAAATTCATAGATTTACTGCCAGAAATATGGGTTAGGCCTATGCGAAGACATAGATATATTAAATTGAAGAGAAAAATGTTTTGTCCTTATAATTTTCATCTGAAAGCCAAACACACTGAAAGGAACAAAAGTAAACACTTTCAAGTTTTCATACCTGAAGTACAAATGTTTTGATAGAGGCCTATATTATTTTAACGCTGTTTTCAAAATAAATTGAGCCTCTGATAACTGTTGCACCCATAAAATTGATGGATTAGCTACTTAGATACGTTGTTTTACTCAGTTTTGTTCCAGAAATATGCTTCACACAGGGAACAGAGCACAAGTGAACAGACAAATCCATTTGTAATTGTTGTTCTTTCCACTTGCTTTGAAAAGTGGGGTTTTAACTATAGAAGATTGGTGAAAAGTTGGGGGACAATTCATGTGATGTCCCCCCAACTTCGAAATATGGGGGATGTGTCTCACCGATCGATGCCCATGAACATTAGCCAAGGCCTTGGCCCATGCCCCTACCCTAGGCTAGGCCTAGCTGGTAGTGGGCTAGTATGTAGCTTGTAATCTCAGTTGTGATGTGTCATGCGGTTTGATCTGTTTGCACAGTTTAGAAATTGCACTAGTGTAACTACAGCACTGTTCTAGCAAATGGCACGCAACGCACACACTCACACAAAAAAAGCCAATAAGTTTCGACGGGAGTAGATTGGTTTATTACAGGAATTATAATTTACACGACGGCAAATCTCCAAATAATCCCCATTTTATCTCTGATTGAACTCTGTGAAAACTACAATATAAATAGTAACAAAATATAGAAGTACGGTAAGTAACATATAACAATTAACATGGTATAAATTAATAGGCCTGAGAAAATAAGCATTCTCATCGTAACTATAAGCCTAGATTGTAAACAGAATTGAACTGAGTACACCTTTTTGGCCCATCCAGCGCTCTACGTGACACCCAGGGCTGCAGTGGAATGTGCATAGCACAGGTCAACAACAACTTTTTAAACTGCACAGAGTTAGTTTCCAATACAGGGTATCTTTTCTTTATGTAGAAAGGCTCGTACTCAATTTAAATTTCCATTGGCGGACTCAAGTGGGTGGGGGCCCCCTAAATTTTTCAAAATTAACAGAAAATTGATAAACTCCCTGTCTGGGCCCCTTTTATCCTGTATTTTCAATTCCTGGATCTGCCACTAGTTTTGTTTAATTTTTCAGAAAAATCCAAGATGGTCACTCAAGAGATCCTGCTAGTTATTAATGCTTTTTAAAAGGGTGTATCATATTGATCTCTCTGTTATTCACACACACTTTGAAGAACTAGTGATGTTCTATCATGCATGTGCTAAAGAAGTGTGGCATACATAATGCATTTCCAGGCCAGTCATTATAAAATAAATGTAAAACACTTATTTATAATGACTTTGATGTCAAGTCATTATATAATGAAATCAGTGATTATATGTAAATATAATTCTTGGTTAATTTTCATTATTTTTTAATACCCTTTATTTATATAAGGAATTCATTGAATTTATATGATTGGTTCTCCTTTTATTATTTATTTAGTGAAATCAGAAAACCCATTTTAAAATATTGAAAACTTGTATGCAATTATTTACTAATGATTTTTAGATGTAAAATGCATTATATGATTGATTTACTCAATTATGTATAAATCATTGTGTTAAATAATAGATTTACACTTGGCACCTCATAGTTAAGAAGCAAAGATCAAAGTGAATCATCATTCTTTTCTTTTAGTTAATTTTGCACCAATATGGAGTTTGGAAACAAGTATATTTACTGTTCAAATGAACAACCTGAACCTGATAAAGATGATGAAGATACATTGGAAGAAAATTCATTTATGGATAGTGTATATGCAGGACTTGCTGATGATAGCCAGGTAAGAAATGTTTAAACCCCATTTTTCAAAGGCTATATCTACCATATTATTATTACCATCATTTTTACAGTGAATATTCATATACAAATGGATTGTTTATATAAAATATATTTTAGTTAACTTATGAATTTCTATCACATTGTTGTTGCTGCTAATTGTTGCTGCCGCTGTAGTAGTAGTAGTAGAGAAAAAGACTGATTTAGAACTGTGTATAGGACACAGTTTTAAAGATTTCCCATAAATATAATAAGAATGTCTTTTCTTTTGTCATAGACCTGTATGCTTGATATCCTAGACACAGCAGGCCAGGAGGAGTATTCAGCGATGAGAGATCAGGTAACGAGACATGCAGAGATGCTAATGAAGTCAATTTATGAAATGCAACTCGCATCAGAATACTCATTATTGTTAATGTTAGCATAATCTTGTTGAAATGTACATTATGATCATTTAGTTTTGAAAATAACAAAACCCTGTGTGTTTGTTTTTCAGTACATGAGAGATGGGCAGGCTTTCCTTATTGTGTATTCTATCACTTCTAAGGCCTCACTGAAAGCAGCTAAACATATCTATCACTTTACCACCAAAATAAAGAAAACAAAATTTGTACCAGCAGTAAGTTTTATTTAGTAATCCTATCCTAAAATATACATATGAATGAATTATAATTAATTATTTCAGTTATTGTGATACATTTATATTATAAAAATATGGGGTTGAATATGAAAGGGTCTCTGTCCCCTAATAGGAGTGTTGTTATAATAAAAGATATATTTCCACTTGTTTAACAGAAAAGTGTCCCCTTGGAGTGTCCCCTTAATAGGAGTGTCCCCTGAATAAAGGTGTCCCAAAGGAGAGGTTCTGTTTAATGACAAAAATGTCAGAAAGCACAATTTTTCTTTAATGAGAATCTATTTTGTTTTATGTTTTCAAATATGTTAATGTTGTCACTCGTTTAAAGCCAGAATTGGTTGGTGCCTGGAATGCGAGTGACATATTAATAAAGAAAAACGAGAAATAGAATATGAAAAGTAAATATATGGTATAATGGCTGTGGATTTTTAGAGCACAAATTACAATTTAGACTGTATTTAAAATTCTTTTATGCTTTTCTACAATCATCCCTCAAGTGTGGTAAAAAATGGCAGAAATGAAGAACGGATACCCAAGTAATTACATATATAGTATTTTAATGATGCAGTCACATGCAAAAATTATGATGCAGAAAATATTCTTTTTACATCTTTTGATTTGTGTTATGATTTTAAACAAAACATATTTAGAACATGGTGTGGAATGTATCGGTTCCTTTTATATTAAATTGTGCTGCACTTTAAAATATATTTAGGAAAACTCAGAATGCCTTGCAATTCTGTAAAAAATTAAAATCCAATTCGGCTTTGTTCAAACGAAGAGTAATCTTTTCATATTTTCTTAATAAAGAAACTGGTAATCTTCTTGAACTGAAATCCTTGATAATAGAACCAAATGGATGTATTTGACAAAAAATACAACGCATTTTAAAAATAACATGTGGCTCGGCCTACGTAATGATCTTTGTGACCTGAAAAATATCTTACTACAAAATGGTTACTCAATTCACATTGTTGACAAGTCTATTAAAAACTATTTAGTTAACACAATCTCTGATATTACAAAGAAAACTGTCAATGATGACAATGTTAAAACACTTTTTGTTAAACTTCCATATATTGGCATATTTTCTGACAACATGAAATGCAGAATTATGGATCTTGTCAAAAAATACTGTATTGATTGTAAAGTACATGTAATATTTAGTACCACCAAAATCAGTCAGTAAAGATACTATCCCCAATGAATCCCGATCCTCAGTAGTATATAAATTTAAATGTGCTGGATGTAATTCCAGTTATATAGGCTATAAAGGCCGTAGATTAATTGTTGGTGAGCATCTTGGAAAGGATAAAAATTCACACGTACTCAAACACTAACGCAAACAGTAAATGTAAAAGGTTTTCTGATAAGAAATGTTTCTCTATATTGGATATTGATAATAATGAAATCAAATTGAAAATCAAAGAATCCCTTTACATAAAATGGAACAATCCTGATCTTAATATGCAAATTAAACATGTTAACTTAAAGCTTGTTTAAACATACACATAAGCAATAGTTATTATGCAAGCGCTTGGTACCTTGCATTTAACTATAGCTTCACAACCTTTTGTTAAACAAATCAATGTACCTGATTATATATTCAGCATAATAATTAGCTACATATGATTAATTAGCTACATATGATCCATATTACAGACTTACTAGAGCTTTACTAACCCTTTGTTAAAGAAATCATTGTATTCAATTATATATTCAGAATAATAATTAGCTACATATAGTCCAGATTGCAGACTTACTATAGTTGGTCAAACTCATTGTCAAACAAATCAGTCTATCTATTTAATATTCATAATAATTACCTATTTATATAGTCTACATGAAAAGTACTTGGTTCATTTCTGTTGTGTTTTTTGTTAACTGATGATGGGTTGAAGGTAACCTGAAACATGTCTTCCATTAAATCTTCTGTGTTATTTTTAAAATGCGTTGTATTTTTTGTCAACTTGCGTCCATTTGGTTGTATTATCAAGGATTTCAGTTCAAGAAGATTACAGTTTCTTTATTAAGAAAATATGAAAAGATTACTCTTCATTTAAACAAAGCCGAATTGGATATTAATTTTTTACATAACTTTAAAATATGTATGGAATTTCCCCACTTTTACAAACTCTGTATGTTTTGATTGGTTTTGTATCATGTTACCAGTTTTAACTTCAAGTTAGTAATTCCCAACCTGACTTCAGTAAGCATAATCTTGTGATATGGTTTAACTAGAATATTTAAATAGTTTTCAAAAATTAAATCTTTTTTAAAGATGTACATTACTAAATTTGTCAAATTATTTCAAACTGACAAAAAAAAAAAAAAAAAATTAATAATTATTTGTTAATATTTTAAATTATAAAAAAAAAATAAAAAAAAAAATAAAAAAATTTGCAAACATACAAATAATAAACTTGAGCATTGTTGCATTTAAAAAAAAAAGTGTTTCCTTGATTTTTGTACTTGATAATGATGAAAATAGTAAAAACGCTTCCAGTGACTAGAATTGTTTACTATAATTTTTTGCTGTAAAATTGTGGGTAAACATTTAATAATACAATAATTTAGTGTTCAAGTTGATAATTTTTATGTATGGTACTTCAAGATGAACAAGTTAAGTTCAAAAATAATTTTTGTAATTTTTTTTGGTATTTTTCATGGGACATAACATCTTTAAATTGAGAGTAAAGAGACAGAGATGATACCTTGATACTGTTTCTCACCACTTTTGATATTCAGTATATTTTTACATGTGGGACATATTGAGCAAGCCAGACATATCCTAGTCCTCTCTTACTTTTTACTGAATACTTTGCCACTAATTTGGATTTTTATATCGAATGATGATGAACACAACAGATGACAATAGTAACAATGCCAAAAATATATAAGTAATAATAATAAGTAATGTATTACCAAATATTACAACAATAGTTTAACAGTTAAATTTATGCCCGTTTGTATTCCTGCGTGAAGAGAGACACGAATGTGTCAAAAAGTTACATCATCAACCATTACGATGCAGTGAGTGGCCAACAGTTAAATTTATGCCCGTTTGTATTCCTGCGTGAAGAGAGACACGAATGTGTCAAAAAGTTACCATCATCAACCATTCAAATCATCCAAACTGCAACCAAATTAATGTAAACTATTTATTCTATTTAAAGGTATTGTGTGGAAATAAGAAGGATCTTGAACAGGATCGTGAAGTGAGTTACCATGAAGGATTGGCTGTTGCCAAGCAGCTCAAGGTTCCTTTTTTGGAAACATCTGCGAAAACTAACGAAAATATCCAAGAAGCGTTTCAGACACTTATTCGTGAAACACCACGCACTGGCGTTGAGTACAAGGTATGAAACTTGAAAGAGCATGTATTGCTAGCAATTGTAGAACCCTAAATGGGAAGACCTTTACTTTTAGCAAGTGCTATTTGGTCCCCTGGGCTATGGCAGTTAGTTTTTTTTTCTTTTCCTTTTTCGCTTTTTTCCCCAATATCTTTTTTTTAATGTAACGTTATGAATGTTTTGTACTTGTTTGCCCGAAATATTATTTAAAAAAAAAAGAAAAAAAGAAATAAGGCCCAATCAGAGTGGAGTTGAATAGCTTGGTGCTTAAGGTACTTGCCTTAAGCAATGCCAGTGTCTTGGGTTGAATTCCTGCCACGTAACAGGATATTTTCTCAACCAAAAACTACTCTACTCATTAAGCATCATAATGAGACTTAAGCCTGGCACTCGCTGCAATGGACCTTTCCGCTAAGCCCCGCCCCTTGGATATTGTTGCTAAGGTTCCACAAGGCGACAGTGTTAAAACATACGCAAACACGTGCGTTTGTGGGACAACACGTGTGTTTGTGAGACGCACGCGTATTCCTAGCGCTGTTCCGATTAGTCAGTTGTTAAGTTTGATTGACACTCCGGAAAGGTCTATTCTATGTAGAACACAACGCCACGATGCGCACGTAATGGATCGTTTTTAAATGATGATCCGTTCTGACTACCACCGACAACCAGTACGATGCAGTGAGTGGCCAACTTCAGTTTACGTAGAGCATCTTTTATTTACATTTGTCTTGTGACTAGTGATTAAGTTCACCGTTTGGCATATCCTTAGCTAATTAGGCCTAAAACAATAATAATAAAATAAAAATAATTAAAATATATATGTTGATGTCATTTAAGCAACATTCTGACTGCAAAATAGGCCTTGTAGGACCTGTGAAGGAATTGCTGCATTGTAGCATTTAAAATATTAAATGAATTGATTTAAAAAAACTCGGTAGACTCATAAAAGGAGTGAATGTTGGCCTACCCGTATGTATTTCCATTGTCCTTGCACCTTCTCATGTTAACACATTCCCAGAATGCACAATTTATGATTTATGATTAAGTTTATGTATAATATTTTGTTGAACTTATCTTTTACTGACATTCAAATATTTAAAAGTAAGAAGTGACATTCTTTAACTCCTAGTATAATTCCAGCCATTAGACAAAATTCCTGGTTAGAAGGTGTTCATTTTGTAAAATATTTAAAGTTTTTTGGAGAATAAATTCATGGATATCAGATATATTTAGTACTATTCCAATGTTCATGATTAGATTTAACGGTAAATGTAGCTTCCTGCCTAGCTTCCGTTGCTTTCTCTGAAACTCTTTAGGGAGGCTAATGTAATCACAACAATTCAGTGGTCACATGATCATTCAAGCATGAATACAGTAATTTGAATTATAATGTGACAAAATGTCCTCCAGTACTGCCGATAACTTATGGTCACTGTTTAGGGTGGGGTACCTGGTCCTGATTGCCTTTGACCATCTTTTCTTTCTTGGCCATTACATGCCTTCTGGACTGATGACTATCAGATTCTTCTAAGTAATCTTTTCACTCAGATATTTTACCTATGAATGTCATGTTTTCAATTCCCAGCAAATGAAAATTGGGCAAGTGTTTGCCAGTCTTCTTTGGTAATGCTAGGTGTAAAATTAGCCTAGAATATTTCTTGCAGTGCTCATAGAGTTTTATTTGACCTTTGCACATGAACTGCAAAAAAGGTCAAACTGTGCACTAAAAAATTAGTGCACGGTTTGGGATAGGAAAGAAACGCTGGATTTACATTGATGACATCATGATTGACTTGTAAATACCAATTATATTTTATATGTTTCAGGTGGTGATATTAGGTGATGGGGGTGTTGGCAAGTCTGCTTGCACATTACGATTTTGCTGTGATAGTTTTGTTGAGGACTACGATCCAACTATCGAGGACTCCTTCCAGAAGCAGATAAAAGTTGCTGACATACCGAAAGACAAAATAGTTGGCAAACCTAAGAAAAGACCAATAAATGGTAAACAATTTGTACAATATGGTTTTTATACATGGCCGGCGGAACCGGGGGGGGGGGGGGGGGGGGGCCGTGGGGGCTGGGCCCCCACAAAACAAGAAAAGAAGGAGGGAAGGATGAGGAGAAGGAGAGGAAAGAGAATGTTTATCCAGTACCCGACCGAGTTACATTTTCTCGCAATTCACATTTGCGGATCTGGAGGAGGGGGTCATGGGTCCTGACTTCTCCCTTAGGCAACAAAAAAAGGGGAAAAAGAAAAGAACTCTAGACCTACCTTTTCAGGACCTGTGAGCTGATTTTTTTTTTTTTTTTTTTTTTTTTTTTTTTT